CTACAACACTAAGCTCTCCAGAACCTCACAAATAGCCCCAGCGTGGGGGAAACCAGTCATTGAACACATAGGCTATGGTATATTGAGCCATTGTATGAACTGTGGAGTGGAGAGCAGGGAACTTCCAGGGTGCGCCATCACTTCTTCCCTGAGTCCATTGCCTTCTCTGTGCCATTTTCTGCCGTGAGAAATTGCCTGTCAGAGAGGATGAGAATGCTCACCTGGAGAACTCTCATGTGGTCTCTGAGCAAAGGTGGTCTGTTTTTGTGCACTTGTTTAAAATGGTCTGTTGGGGACTGGAAAACGCTCATTGAATAAGACATTTGGTCCTTTTGGAGAGGACCCGGCTTGGTTCCCAGCACCCGCATGGCAGCTCACAATCATCTAAAACTCTAGTTCCGGCCTCCACAGGCACTGTACACACATGCTGCAACTGCATACATGATTTTGTTTAAAAAAATACATAAGATAAATCCCTAATTGTGACTTCATTTCCCAGAAGTGAAGTGAACAGCTAGCATGGACATTCTTAAAGAGGTTAGCTGGATGTCGTGGTGCACTTTGTTCCCAGCATTAGGGAGGCAGAGGCAGGCAGGTCTCTGTAAACTCATGGTCAACCTGGTCTACACAGTGACAAGGCTACACAACGAGACCCCGCCTCAACACAACAATTCTCCAGTCTTTTTAAAGAATGCGAAAACAAAATGCTGTGCTGTTGGAACAGTGTTAGCTGAGGTATATTCTTTCTCATATTCTGTTCGGAATGTGAGCTTGATGCTCCTTTTAGGAAGGAGTGAGTGAGGTCTGTGTCCTCTTTCACCTAGTATGCTGTGGTTTCCTTGCAGTCAGTCAAGAGGTTTATCAAGCACTTTTTAGAAAAGGTGATGTAGCTTCTGCCCCAACCCTGGAATTCTTGCCCTGGGGTCCTGAATGCTCTGACAGCAGTCAGAATCTCCAAGCTGCAACAGGATAAGAAATCCTTATCTGCCAAAGCCAGGCCACTATTGTAGGGGAGAGGTAAGGGAGATGGGAAGGGGCGGAGAAGATGCCAGGCTGCTTGCTGAGTTCCAGCTGAGAACCAATGTCTTTCCATCAGATATAATTCAACCACACTATTTTTTTTTTCTTTTTAGCTTTCTGTTTGCACGCTGTCTGTCTGTCCTAGAAATGGAACCATGGCCTCTTTCTTGCTAGGGAATAGCTCCACCACTGGGCTGCACCCAACCAAATGCTGTTATTTTAAACCACCAAGTTATGAGATGACTTAATGTACTGAAATATTTCCTAAAAATAGATGAGAATGATTTAAAACAGTTGGATCAATGACGTTTCCTTAGTTACAAATAAGAAGAATGGACTCAGCTGGGTGCACACCTTTATTCCCAGCACTTGGGAGGCCCAGGCAGTGGTACCTCTGAGTTCGAGGCCAGTCTGGTCTGTAAAGAGAGTTCCAGGATACCCAGGGCTACACAGAGAAACCCTGTCTTGAAAAAACAAAAACGACATCAATAAGGAAAGAGAGAGAGAGAGAAAATCAATACATAAGATACATATCTAAATTAAAGAATGATGGAAGCAGGACTTGTGAGGAGATATTTGGGCTTTTCTGTCCTTCATCCACATCCATATTTACCTGTCACATACTGGGTTTTGCATATCTCTTTCTCACTGTAGGATTAACGAATGCTACGGCGGTTACTCGCCTGTAATTCAGTATTTGGGTGATTAGATGCAGGAAGATCTGGAGTGCAATCATTTTCACTTACCAAGTGATTTAGAGGTCAGTCTGGGTTACATGAGGTCCTGTCTCAGAAGATCCAAGCCCAAAGAAAACAGAAGATCTTGCTGTGTTGCTCAGGCTAGCACCAAATGTTTAGTCTCCTGTTTCAGCCTCAGAAGTTGCATGAGTTACGTGCCCAGCTTCAATGTGCTGGGTGAGTTTTTTTGTGTAACAGCTCTGACTGTGCTGGAACTTGCTTTGTGGACAAGGCTGGCCTACCTCTGCCTCCTCAGAGCTGAGATTAAGGCATGTGACACCATGAACAGCTGCAAGTTTCATTAAGAGCTAACCTCTGGGACATAGTCACTTCATTCACCTGAGCTTCGATCAGAAGATTGAGCAAGGTGGAGTAAGCACACATCTGCTGTGAGTAGTCAGAGAGTCTACAGAGGCTGAGCCACAGGTGCCATAGTGGTAACAGCCGAAGCTTTGTGCAAAGACAGCACGGTGGCAGAAATGATTTTCACTGCCACCTGGCTCTCTGGGAACAACCTAGTCCAGACGCTGCTTGTTATTTTCTGTGGCACTGAGGAATCTAGTGAGATTCCGGCGGCCACTAGTGCATGCTGATGGGCCTTGTATGGAGATCTCTATGGTGAGGGCAATGGAGAAAGGAGGCCGGTTTTATTGATTTTTTTTTAGTGTGTGGGTATTGCCTGCTTGTATGTGTTCACCGCAGTCATGCAGGGCATGCAGAGGCCAGAAGAGGGTGTTAGATCCCCTGAAACTGAAGTCACAGACATTGTTGGCTACCATGTGGGTTCCAGGAGTCAAATCCCTGTCCTCTGGAAGAGTAGCAGTGCTCCTAAATGCTGAGCCATCTCTCCAGTCTGGAAAGCTGCAGTCTTAAAAATTCGGAGGCTAAGGCATGGGTTTTATTTTTACATGCATTATTATTAAAGATATGGACTTACAGTCTTTGAATTTTTTTCCATTTTGATTATTTTAAAACTTAAATGTTTGTGGCTCATATACTTTTAAACATATATATGTATACATGTATACATATGTATATATGTGTATATATAGATATATGCTTATTGTGGTTGTTACTATCAGAGAGTAAAGGGCAGTGTAACCAAAATGACTGGATTATATAGTGAAGAGCAACTGGGGTAAGCAAAGCCCAACCCCTGGGCTGGAGAAATTTACGGTAGGGGTTGGGGTGTGCCAGCTATACTCTTTAACAGGTAGAGACTGAAGGATGCTGAGAGAACCTGGTGGACATATTCATTCATATTCATTTTAATAGGTTAAATAGGCACCTCAGTTAGCCATTTGTTCTGGGACATATACATATATATATATATTATATGTTAGGTATACATACACATATGTATATGTATATAACTGTTTTCAGTTTACAGCAAAACTGGATGGAAAGTACCAACAGTTCCTATGGACCTTCTGTCCCAACAAAGACGAAACCTCATTCCCACTCAACATCCTGTGGTACTTGGACACAATCATTACCAACAAAGCCCCAGTTAACTCCTGATGTTAGATATCCTATGCATTTTTACATAACAGTGTCTTACAGAGGTGTCCCTGACCCCTAAGTCCTCTGTGCTCAGTGTATTAATCTTTCCTGCTAATGCCTAGCAACCACTAATCTTTTTCTGTCACCAACGTGTAGTTTTGCCATTCAAACTGTCATGTAATTGTCACCACACACTAGACAGCCTTTTAAGAGCAGAATCCACTCGTGATTTTTCTGTCTTTCTAGACTGTTTGCATTAACCTTGTTGAACTTGAGGTACATGGTTGTTGGTACCTCATAGGCAAAAACAAGCTGCAATAGAAGCTGGGAAACTTGCATTCATATCACGTGGGGGTGACAAAACCCTGAGGCAAGGAAGGAGAGGAAGTCTGAGTCAGAGACCTCATTGAGACCCAGGCAGAGCCCTCACGTGTCTGTGCAGATTAGGGGAAGACCGGAGTTTTTTTTCAGACTGTTGAGGCAGAGATATAGGGACTATTTACTGTTTTAAAAATAACTGCTGGGGAGAAGAGACTGTTGGAGGCCCAAGGAGCCAACTCCAGGGAGGAAGCTGCGGCAGCAGCCCAGGCTGGTCATAAACTCACAGCCACGACCCCCACCTCCGGGTGGGGAGGACAGTAGAGACATTATGAGGGTGGTAGACTAGTCAGATTTGTTAAGGATCAAACAGTATAAAAGACAGAGAGAGAGCATGCTAGAAACTTTAAATTGTTGACTTCAAGCTGATTCACCAACAGCAAAGAGTAGCAATCTTTGTGTTGGGAGGTGGGCGGTTCGCATGTAAACGTGTACATCCTAAGACATGCTCCAACAGTTTAAACCGAAAATTTTCAGCGCAAACGGGGATCATTTTTACAACAGCTGAACTTTACATCCCACCATCCATCTATCGGCGCAGGCATCCGCGCACTTAAAACGTATACCTTCCTGTATATGCATACCTCCCCGTATTCACCTCAGCACGTATCTCACTCCTTTCCATCTCCAGCTCGCTAGAAAATTTCCATGCAAGGTGAAATGCACCAATCTTTAGAATACGTTTTCTGAGCTCTGAAAATGCATGTACCTGTCCACATCCTAAACGGAGAGGTCAAGAGGCGTAGCTAAGCCCGCTGCTGGATAGGGGAATCCTGACCTGAGGTCTTCATTGGAAGTGTGAATGTGAGGATCACCACACAGGCTTATTCGGGCGACGTGCTTGGATAGAAACACCTAGGGGACAGCAGGAAAAGAAGATCGGTGTTGAGAGCAGTGGGCGGGACTCAGGACAAGCCAGAGTCCTGGAAAGCTTGGCCACTGAGGTGACTAGCTTGGCTGGCGCTGGGGAAGAGCGCGGAGGGGGAGGGGAGAACTTCCAGCTGCCGGAGACCGGCGGGCCGGAGACCGGAGACAGAGAAAGGGGAGCTGGCAGGGAGGGCGGGGCGAAGTGGGCGGAGCCTGAGGAGTAGCGGCGGGAGGGGGCGGAGCCGGCCGGCCCGAGTGGCGGAGAGGGGGCGTGACCAAGAGGCGGGGGCGGAGCCCTGCGATGGAGCAGAAGTGTGAGGCATGGAGAGAAAAGGAGAGGGCGGGTCTGAGGAGGAGCAGGTGGGTCCGTGGGATGGAATGAGAGGTCGGGACCGAGCGAGGGGGCGGGGCCTGCGGCGAAGAAGCGGGCGGAGCCGAGAGTGGGAGCGGGAGAGTCGGGGGAGGAGGAGCGGGCGGAGCCACCGCACCGGCGGCGGCGGAGGAGGGGGTGTGCGCGGGTCACATGGTCGAGGCGCCCTCCCCGTCAACTGCGGTGCCCGCCGCCGAGCGCTGCCTCGGGAAGCCGCCGCGCCGCGCCGCGCCTCCGCCGTGTGGCCCGCAGGAGCCGCCCGCGCCCGGCGCCCATGAGGCGGGCCCGCGAGCCCCAGCGCCGGCAGCCCCGGGCGGCGCGGTGAGGGCCGCACCCCACCGAGCGCCATGGAGCTGAACGCGGGTAAGAGCGGGGGTGAGGCTCGGGACGCGGGGCTGCGTGTGCGCGCGTCCCCCGCCGCGCGGGGCCGCCGGGATCCCGCGCTCGGGCTCCCCGCGCGCGGCCGCCCCCCTCACATGGCCCTGCCGCGCGGGCCACGTGCGCGGTGTGTTTACGTTCGGCGGCGCGGGCTCCGGTTGGCTGCGCGGCCGCGTGACGCGGCATTACATAATGCGCTCTGGGCGGCGGCGGGCGGGGACACGTGAGGCCGCGCGGTGACCCACATTCCCCGGGGCCGGAGGGACACGTGGGGGCGGCGCCGCCGGGGAGCCCACAGGCGGCGCGAGGCTCCGCCCCCGGGGCCTCCGCCGTGACGTGGCCGCGGTCCCGGGTCTCCCGCTGCCGCCCGCTGCAGACCCCGCCGCGCATGCGCACCCGCCGGGAGTTCGGGCGCCGGTCCCGCCGCAGTGCGCGCTGCAGCCCGCGCGTCCCGGGGTGACCCCGGCAGGGCTGACCTTGCTCGGCGGGGAGTGCGTGGGTTGTCCTCGAGCAGACGCTTGTGGGAGTCCCGCAGCACCGTTCGGGTTGACGGCGTGTACAGAGCTCTCTGTCTCCGGGGGGACTTAGCCCACAAGTCCTCAAGCCTGGAGGCAAGGGATTTTTGTGCGTGCAACTTGCTAGTGATCTGGTGATCGTAGGACTTCAGAACCTTCTACCCAGAACTTTCATTTACATTAGAAACATTTTATCCTCGCGCAGGCAGGAGACCGCAGAAAGATGCAGGCATGGGTTAGTGTGAGACCCTAGCTAGCTCAGAGTGCCAAAAGAACAAACAAATCCCCCTTTTCCAAGACCGACTTTTGTCATTTTTCAAGACCAAAAAAGAGATGTTTCATTTCTTAAAACATGGTCACATAACCCTACATTCCCAGCTTTGCTTTAGTCGATCCAGTGATGTTCCTTACACCTGAAGCAAATGAAGTTTTCAGTTTTAATTCTTGGAATCTTTAAAAATCATAACAAGTGTTTTATGAATTTTTAGACTAATGGCAAAAATAGTTTTATGACTTTTTGATTACTGTGGTCCTTCTTAGCCATTGCCGCATATAAAATATCTAGTCATCTGCCATGAAATCAACCTTTTTTTCACTAGCAGTTTAGAGGTTGGTAGATTCAGCCTCTTCTAATCCTGCCCTCCATGTGCGTTCTGCAAGCTTTGTGACTTCATGATGCAATTGGGTCAGGTGGGTTAGACCTTTCTCTGATTTGAGCCTTCAGAGGACATGGGTATCCATGTTAGTCTTGACTTTTGGAACTACAAATTGTGGACATTTTCCCCAGTGGCTTTTGAGAGCTTCTCTTCCCTGCCCATTTCCAGTTCTCATTTGGTCCCTGTCCAGTGTTTTTCTAATCCTGTTTAATCCCTGTTGCCCTCTGGGGTGGATTTAGCTACCAGAAGTGAATAGACTACTGTGGAAGAGGTTGGATATTTCCCAAGATTCAGCAGGCGCGCGCGCACACACGCACGCGCGCACACACACACAATTTCTCTCTGGCATATTGCTCTGCTGACTTATAGTACCCTTGGGGTCAGCTAGGAGAACCTTTTCATGGAAATTTTTTTCTTTTTAATTTTTTTTTATGGGAAATATTTTGAAGTTAGATTTCAACCATTGTTCAGAAATTGGGTGATCTGAAATACATGAATTTGCAGTTTAGTTTTGAACTTCCTTTTGTTCATTTGATGGTAAGTTCATGCCTGTCATCTGATGTGTTAATATTTCTATTATTTTTCAGAGGGAACTTTTGATAGCATTTCCTTTTACTTCATTTTGACTGTTGTAAACATTATCTGGTAGTGCCAAAGTCAGTGGTATCAGTTAATACTTTGAAACAGAACACTGCCTATGATGCTGTCTCTGCTTTCCTTGCTTGATTGGCAGATGAAAAGTTGACTGCTTGTTTGTCACAGAAAGATTGTAATTGTGTATTCTAAATTTTCCAGAGGATTATAAAAGAGAACTCATTGCAGCTGCTTCACAACAATGGCTACAGTCACATTTTAAAATTTAGGAAAATATTCCTATGTTTCAGTCTGGGGACAAAACATCAGAGGGACATACTGGCAGAAACTGCCGTTTGGAGAGAAGTTGCAGTGGACTGATCATGAGCAAAGTAAAACAATGCTTGAGCAATTAGCGGGGTAAATGGGTTCAGAAGATAGTGTAGAAAGAAATTCTATAGAGACTGGTCCAAGCATAAGGATGCAGAGTAATAATCACAACATCATGTTTAATAATTCCTGTGTATCAGGCCATATGTCCCTCACATTAATTCATAGAAGAAGGTGCAATTTAAGAAGGACTACTAAAATTGAAGTTAAGTAAGCAAATGGTTTAGTGGAAAAAAAAAAAAAAAGGCCACTTCAATGCCATACTCTTAAGAAATGTTTCCTTTTCACAGGGGTTGCATATCAGATTATGCCATTATGATTCATAAGAATAGCAAAATTACAGTTATGAAGTAGCAATGATACTTTTATGGTTGAGGGTCACCAGAACATGGGGAACTGTGTTAAAGGGTTGAAATGTTAAAAGGCTGAAAACCATTGGCTTAGAGTATCTTGAAATCTAGGGATCTGTAGTGATGAGGTTGAAGGAGATAATGTATGGATCTACTCAATTTGTAGAGGAACAGGATTGTGGCTGAGAAAAGGGTCAGGTGCCTCTGTCAGAGTCCCTGATGTCAGCACTCTGCTCTCTCTTTTAACCCTGTTGTTAGTGATGCTGGCTTGCTTTCCAAACCCCAGATTATACCTTGGCACCTCTCCTCTAGTGCTTTACTTAGAAACCAAAATGCTGTTACTTTTACATATTAAGACTTTTTAATAAATGCATCTTACTTGAAAATGTAATTTCTCACACGATACATCATTTAGCAGTGGATGCATTCTTTAATATTTGCTTTGCTCCTCTTGGCCTATGCTCTGTTCACTGCTCATGTGTGATCCTCAGCCTTCAGCCCTTCTTGTGCACCATCACTTACAGCTCTCCACTTTATCTTTAGAGCTTTTTGGGGAAGAGACCAAACTGCTGTGGTGCTCCAGACCCCAGGCATAGGTAGAAATGTAGTACTTCGGTTATATCTGCCTTACCTTCCTGTGAGGAGGGGTTGCTAATAAGCCAGAACAAAACAGGAGAGTATAGTTGTGACTTGGCAGCAAGTCTCCTTTCCAGGATGGTGGATAATCCCAAAAAGGAGAAAGCCGACCCCAGCCTGCAGGAAGGAGCTCATTGACTCCTGGCTTACATGAAGTTGACGCCTGGGTAAGCCCTGGCTGGGAACCTGGCCCAGCTCCACTCCCCTTCCAGCTAAAAATAGAGAGGACTGCTGCCTGAGGTAATTTTAGCTCAAGGCTCTAAGAAGTGCATTCTGCTTGTTTCTGGAAGTGTTGGGATTTGCTGGATCAGGGATTTTACATTTCTTGCTTTATCATCAGAGACTATGTGCACAAAAAGATAATAACCCCTTTTATGAACACTTTCATTTTAGTCTTGCATTTACTGGCAGATATTTGTGTTTTATGGGTGATGACTCAGGGTTGGTGAGATGAAAAGAAACTTGCTTGCTCAGGTCTTCTCAGTAAGAGTGATCTTGTGGATTAGCTTGGTGATTTTTATATCTGGTTCTGCTGCTTACTAGTCACCTTCCTAAGTCTTTCTGAGCTCCAGCTTCCTCATTTGTAGATGAGTTAATGGAAGCTGGAAGGCTGATATATGACCTGGAGATTGTGTCATTTTATGGTTGGCTTCAGTACTGTGTGGAGACTTAAGAGTTTCAATTTCCTTTCTTCACACGAGGAACTGCTTGTGTAAGCCTTACCTTCTAGGGAGTTTACATTTAATCTCCAGGTTGCTAACCATCAGATCAGTAGATAGGTGTCTACAGGAAAAGAAGACAAGAAAATCAGTATTGAAAGTCTTACTGGAAAAAGGCAGCCACTTCTGGATTGGTCCTGGTGATTTCAAGGTATTGAATAAAAGCACTTGAATCTCCTAAGGATGGAAGTTAGATATAAGCTGGATTGGTAACTGCACAGGAAGTTTTAAAACTTTCATGGATTAGGCAACACTTTTGGCTAGTTTCAAGTAATCTGCATTAGTTCAGATTTAGTTTGTGCCATGTGTGCACTTGTGAAGAGGTCAGAGGAAAATGCTGGCTTTTCTTCATTGCTGTCTACCTAATTCCCTTCAGACAGTCTTTCAGTGAGCATGGAGCTCCAGAGTTGCTGCCACTTTTACAGGTTCTGTCACTCCGAGCTGTTACTGAGTACTTCTCATTAGCTTGACTGGCTGGCCAACAATCCTCAGTGATTCTCTTTTCTCTTGTATCCCAGTACTGAGGTCGCTGTTGCACAAAACCACACCTAACTTGTTCTGTGGCTGCTTGAGATCTGAACTCGGATCTTACGCTCAGCATGGCATGCTCTTGCCTGCCCAGCTCCACCCCGTTAAGCACTTTTATGTTATTCTGAGACAAGATCTCACTGTGTAACCAAGGCTGGCCTTGAACTTATGACTCTTCCTCCCTCAGCTACCTGGTTTCTGGCATTATAGGCTAAGTGCTTACTTCTGAGCAGAGGTACTCAGAAGACCTTGTGAACAGATGACGTCCAGTGTTGGTCCTAGGATGGTCTTCTTCAAGAGTCTAGTTTTTCTTCTGTTTGGGTTATAGGTGTTCACCCAGTGCCTAAGGCTATATTTTTTATGGACACAGAGCTGTGAGATACTCCACTGGGAAAACATTTTTCTTGGTGTCCTATTCTGAGCAGAGACACCTGTAAGCCCAGTAGCAGTTTGCTAACCCTGGGATTTATGATGTGCACTTCAGATCTCTTAAGCTCTTTAAAGACAGATGATCTAGTGATTTTTTTTTTTCCCCAGCCAGAATAGGCTTCCAGATTCTCATCGAACTCACAGGGTGTTTCAGATACCTGGGCAGTTGTGTTAAGTAGATTCCAGCCT